ATCACAGATCTGTACCTCTGAAACAAATAATGCAACATATGTTAAGAAAAAAGAAAAAGAAGAAGATAGCAGGAGGGGAAGAATGAAGGGGAGTAAGTCAGAGGGGGAGACGACCCATGAGAAATGATGGACTCTGAAAACAAACTGAGGCTTCTGGGGGAGGTGGGGGGATGGGTTAGCCGGTGATGGGTATTAAAGAGGGCACTTACTGAATGGAGCACTGGGTATTATACGCAAACAATGAATCATGGAACCCTACATCGAAAACTAATGATGTATTGTATGGTGATTAACATAATAAAAAAATTATTAAAAAAAAAAACACAAGGGGTGCCTGGGTGGCTCAGTCAGTTGAGTGTCTGCCTTCAGCTCAGGTCATGATCCTGGGCTCCCTGCTTAGTGGGGAACCTGGTTCTCCCTCTCCCTCTGCCTGCCGCTCCCCCTGCTCGTGCTCTTTCTCTCTCTCTCTCTCAAAAAAAAAAAAAAAAAAGGCACAGGGTCAGAAGGCAGACATGTTTGAGTTCACATCCTGACTCAACTTGTGTGGCCTTAGTCACCTTCTAGAACCAATCCAGGCCTCAGCTTTCCCAAATGCAAGATGGGAAGATAATACCTACCTCACAGGGTCGATACGAGGATTAAATGTTACATCTGGAAAGAGCTTGGCACACATTAAGCGCACATTCAACGTTAGCCGCTCCAGTGGTTTCTTCCCAGGGCCCTACACTGACACTCACACGTCCGCCGACCAAACGCGGTCTCACGCCCTCACTCGCGCTGTCTGCCCCCTGCACACGTACACCACTGGTGCTCTCACTCAGTCCTGTAACCTCGTCGTGCCTCTAACGGAAACAGCTGCTCTCTCGGGAGCTGCTCTGCCATTGCACCACCCAGTCCGCCAGCCTGTTCCCCCCAGGATTTTATCCACAGGACTCTGTAGGGATGGCTCTCAAGTCACCAGCAGCCTCCTCCTCCCTGCCAAACCTTGCACCGTCCCCACACGTCCTACGTCACCCTCACCTCTGGGTTCTCTCCCACTTCTTGTCCCTAGTGGCATTTCATCCAGTTCTGCCATTCTCTGGGTTCCCTCTCCCTCCCTATCTGCTCCCCTGTCTTTCATGATCCGCGTTAGGAAAATAACTGCCATAAGTCTGTATCTCAAGTGTCCAAAACCAAGGTCAAAAATTCACAAACATGCTTTATGTCTCCATTTCTGGTTTAACCATACAACCATCCTCCCAGTAATCTGGGGCAAAAAAACTCAGAATCAAAATGACCTCTACTGTTTACCTTGCCTGCTACATCAAACTAGTCACCAAGTCCTATCTCACTGACGACTCAAACTTGGGTGTTCCAACAGCACCTGCCCAGGCCTGGGGACTGGTGTGGCACTGCCCCTCCATTGTCTCCCTCCCTGCCCTGTCCATTCCATCGCAGACGGAACCACCACCAGAAAAGTCTTCCTGAAGCGTGGTTCCTGCCACCACACCTCCCCTCTCCCTCCTCCACGACTCAGGGCTCCCACGGTTCACAGAGTAATAGTCCTGATCCTTGCTCCTTCTATCCTTGGAGCAGTTTCTCCTCCCCGCTCCTCCTTTAGGACAGTTTTCTTGGTTCTATAATCATTTGTGAGTGTTTTCTCTTCCCTTCTAGACGTAAGTTCCTCAGGGACAAGGGCTGTGTCCTCTCAGCTCTGCGTTCTCCACAGAGCCTGACATTTTCATTCCACTAATACTTGCTGAGCACTTACTAAGCCCTAGGTACTGAAGAGACTGTCCTAAGTCCTTGTCATCCTGGAGCTTATAGTCTAGAAGGTGCTCAAAAATGTTCACTCGATGAAGAACAAAACTCATTGGTCAATTGGAAAAAAAAAGAAAGTACAGCTTTAGGGACTGAGGTCTAAATTTAGTAAAAACGGAAAGTTGTTTTAATGTTAAAATCGAAATCTGGTTCTGAATCTGCATACCATTGCTTTTATGTCTTTACCTCCACCAGGCTGGAAATTCCTTAAGACTAGATACCACAGTTTTATGCCAATCACTAATCAACACAGGGATTCTGGAAGCTGCCGGTCAGTATTGACTGGATCAATGAGGAAGAAAAATAAACCTAACTTACTTTTTTTCATAGAGATCTGTAAATTTAAAAAGAGGCAGACAGCAGGCAGGAGCGTCCTGAAGAATAGACATTGTTTCTGAACTGTAAAACAAAATTGCACTCAATCAGAGAACAGATGTCGCTGGACATCAACAGATGATTTCCAAGTTGTATTTAAAAAACTGAGCTCATAAAATTAACACAAAGTACAGCTGACCCTTGAACAACATGTGTTTGAACTTCACGAGTCTGCGTACATGTGGATTTCTTTCGATTGAGGCAGTATAGTTCTGTAAATGTATGTTCTCTTCCTCATGATTTTAGTAACATTTTCTTCTTGCTTACTTTTTTGTAAAAATACGGTATATAACACATATAACATACAAAACAGGGGTTAATCCATTGTTTATGTGAGCAGTAAGGCTTCTGGTGAACAGTAATTCAATTAGTAGTTAAGGTTTTGGGAGCCAAAAGTTATGTGCAGATTTCTGACTGCATGGGGAGGGGGTCGGCACCTCTAACCCCTATGTTATTCAATGGTCCATGCGGCATAAATTTACCAGTTTCTGATATGTCAAAATTACACTTGATCTTAGCCAAAAGGCCGAGAAGCAATTGTGATATGTCAAAATTAATTTGCTGTAAAAACTTAAAGAAATTACTTTAGGGACAAGGCGATCAAAGAATATAAAGTCAAGACACCCTGGGATTTTCATCAAACTCAAGCATAGGGCTTCTCACACCTGTGTATCAGAAGAACACTGACTACTCTATGAGACAAACACCTTGTTAACTCAGAGTAAAAAGCAGAACAGCTTGAATGTCTCCTGCCACGTTGTGGTTCTTGTGGTTCATGAATTCCACATGGGTGTGGAATTCCCACAGTTGAGGATACACGACTGAGTACAATATATCATCCCAACTATGGTTTTAAAAAACAAAAAGGCAGCCAAAAACACTCAAGAGGGAAAACAAAAGGCAAACTGTCGAGTGACTGGCTTTGAGCCACAGGATTATGGATTTCTCCCCCTCTTCTTTTATGTTTCTGACCTTTCTGAAGTTTCTTCAATGAGTATTACTTTTATCCTAGGGGATAAAAACCGTAATTTAAAACAATGGTGAAGTACATGTCACAGAAAAAGACCTCTGAGAATTCAGATTTTTAGGAGTGAGTTCTGTTTTACTAGTTTCCCCCAAAACAGGGAGAGCAGAAGAATCACCAAAGCGCATTAAGAATAAAATCATCACCAGATTCCTACAATTGACATAATCATAATGCAGACTTACGGAGTGTCTATTTGATGTTAAGGATCTATCTGCAGGTTGACAGCTTGGAGCTTTGTAGATCTACCCTTTATAGACAAACCTACCTTCTCCTAAGATTTGGAGGTAGTATTTCAGACTTTCCAGGCTTATAAACTTTTATCGTAGAGGGCTATTTTTAGAACCTGTTCTGGATATGTGGTGTATTATTTTACTCCTAACTGCCTGCCAAGTTTAAGCTGTGCTTCCCCTTTGAGGAATGACTTGAACAAGAGTTGAATTATTCTAACTAGCTTATTGCTGACTTCTAACTTATTTGTAAGCTCCACCAATTAAGAGTAAGCACTATTGCATATGTAATCATCTAAGAGGGTTGGGACAGTGATCAAATCTATTTTCTTACTTCCAAAGTTATTTCTGGGCCAAAATGTTATTTCCTGAAATAAATGGTTTGTTTTTACCTCAGTAAAGAGAGTGATTTATTAGCAGCTCCTGTGGCAAGTGAGACCAGGATCTTCTTGCTGCCAATTTTGTATCTGTGGAGGCTATTCACCGCACTGATTGCTTCTTGTAAGTTCTCCATCTGAACAACAGCCTTGAGCTGATAATCTGTATGGGGGCTGAGCTCAACACTCTTCACCTACAGCAGTAAAAAGGAAAATGGAATGCTATGTCTACCCAGAACCCTGTCATCTTAAAACTGAAGGTGAATCGTTAGGGAACACGTTTGCGGACTTCCGTGCTTCTGTGAGGGAACTTGTCCGAACTCTACACTTCTGCCAAGCAAAACCTAAGTGAACTAGAACTGGGTGACCTTCAGGAATATGAAACTGGCCCGGCCTGCCTGCATGCTCTGGCACACACAGCACTCCCATGCAGGCTCAGGAGCCAATACATGTGAGGAGTCTTTGGGGTCTTCTCCGGACCCTGCAAATACTTGGGGCATAGCCATTTTAATAATCTGGAAAAGGTGCACTTCTAGCAAACAGCACCTAAAAACTGCATCAATACAGTAAGATGTTAACAAAAACAGCCAACGTTACTTTAGAATCCTATTTCTGTATTTTAGCAGCCAGAGCTAAATAAAATCCATCTGCGTTTTATTTCCCAAAGTGCCACTTAAATCCCTGCCCATGACCACAAGTGCTTCTCCACTAGGTCTCTTGCTCTCTGGGGCTATCTCCTAAAAACTGGATGTATAGTATCACCATGAGCAGACCAAAGGAAAAAGGATGGAGTTCAAACTCATTCAGTAATCCTTATATCTTGGCTGTGGTTATGTGTGTTGAATGACATTCTCTTGAGTTGGAGTGCCAGCAAAGGGTAAAAGGCAGGAACAAGAGAGAAAAGGTTACCTTGCCGTGCCTAGAAAACGCTTCCTGCATGAGCTGCTGCAGCTCCTTCCGGGATAACCTGTAGTCGATGTTGCTGATCTGGATGTCAGCACCATTTGCAAATGGGTCTGGGCTGTCGGCACCAATGCTTGGATTTGCAATGTTGAAAGCAAGTGGGGACGCTCTGTTTAAAAGGTTTGGAGACATACTCCTGTGTAAGACATACATATTAAATTATTTTTAAAAACTGTGATTCTATTTATTTAGTTTATATCATTTAGGCTTTGCTCAAAGCTATATATAGAAACAACTTTCCATAATACAACCAAACTAAATATTTGGTTTTCAAATGTATATTTATCTTAAACATACACGGATTTAGATTTATTGTCAAAGTACTACCTGTTGACCCCTTATTAACAACCAGTACACGATTTAATATCAAATATTCTTTCACTGGATTATTTAAAACTAAAGACAAAAATTATAGGTGGGCCTAATGAATTAATTTTCCACTTTGGGTATTTATTCTTGGTTAATTAGCCTGTGATACTCATGTAAGTCATTTAACCTCTCCCTGGCTCTGAAAATGCTAGATATTCTTGCTCATGTGTTGTAGTCTTTCTCCAGATCAGAAAAATTTTCATGTGAATTTTAAAATGTAACTTTACAGATCTAAAGTCACTTTCTGGAGCGAGTCTTCACCAACTCAGCAGAAAAATACAATGCTTGAAGGAGTTCACGTGATGCAACGTGGCCTCATGGCTCCTGTCCTCCAGGCCCCCAGAAGTACTCAGTATGAGTTTGGAGAGCTTAGTAAGTGTTACTTAGGTAATTACAGTGGTTCACAGAGACCCTTGCTTTTCAAACAGCTCCTGGTAATTACCCTAGGAATAAGGGTAACCAATGTGTGTCCAGTTTGGGCTTTTTCCACAACATGACGAAGTGAGGAGGACACGGTAAGGACATGTTAACGTGCCTCCCATCCAGGCCAGGGACTCCTAGACAAGTTTCTCTGACCTCTGCCTACCCAGATTCCCACGTGCAGGAGGAAGGAACGGTGAGAAGCACTGCCCCCAAACGCTAGCTAAGATTACCCGAGGAAAAGAGGGGCTGGAGGAAGAGGGGTGGAAGACTCATCTTTTACTTTGTGTACCCCTGTATTGCTTGCATTCTTTTAAACAGATGTTATTTCATAATCCCTCCTATTGCAGTAACTACCCCCACGACGAAAAAGCTAGACTCACCGAGAAGACCATGACTGTGCGGTGAGCAGAGGACTGACTTGCCTTGATGCGATCAACTTGCTAAAAGCCGATGGGTAACTCACTTGGAACGGGGTCTCCTCTTTATCTTTTTTCTCTATGGGAGAACTGGTGACACTTCGGGCACAGAGGTTCTCTTTTCTAATGGAGAGAAAAATTGACAGGGAAGGGTCACTGGATGTCCTTCACATTAGACAATCATCTGTGAGAAAGAGTAACTGAACCTACCTCAGATTGGTTTTGCAAGCAGACTCTGCCGTCCCCGAGTTTTTAGGCGCGGGCGCCGCAGCACTCAAGCCTCTGTGAGGAGGTGCTGCCAGCCTCGGGTTACCTTGCTGGGAGTCACTGTTTCTAGTCCCAGTCTTCGACTCCATGCGGCACAGCTCCTTCAAAGAGACAAGTGCGGCGGAGGTGAAAATGTAAGTACCCAACGCGTCTTAAAGCCTGTCCAGGAAACATGGAACTCTGAGTATGGTCAAAAATGGAAATAAAAAAGGACATGCCAAAAGCAAGCGGGCATATCAAACACAGACACAAAGAAACCAAACCTACCATAAACTTCAGAAAGCAAGAGGTATCAAAGTTACCTGTAAACTTTTAACATTTGTGTTTTTTGTAGTAGATCCAGAATTTGCCTGCGACCCTTTTCCAGGCGTGGCTTTGGCACTGGAAGATTGTTCACTTGTATCTTTGATGAGGCACAATTTTGGATTCTTAAGTTTTTTGGGAGACTTCGCTTTATCGGCAATTGCACTGGAACTCTTTGTCTCACAGAGTTCTCTAGTTTTTGGAGTAAATGACACAATGATCCTATTACCAAAGACATCTTCATTTTCCATTCGCTTCTGAGCCCGTTCCGCACTATCTTGGTTTATGAAGCGGAGAATCGCACTGCAGCCTGTGATACTCAGCACTTTCCCACCACAATTATCAGACAGGCGCCTGAGCCTGTTGCTGATGCTCTTGCCATCTTTATTTGCTGGTAGGTTATAAACATAGAGCAGAGTGTGGCACTGCTGATACAGAGGAGAAGTGTTACAACAGGTTAACTCAGGGGCACACGTTCACTTACACAATTAGAACAGGGAGTGATCTCCAGACTGAAGCTAACAGCCTTAGCCTTGGAGGGGAGGTAACAATGATGTACAGGGGAGAAGGTAAACTTACTTAGACTGAAAAACACAGAAAGAGAGAAATATACCTTAAATGATCACTCTAGTGGACAAGAATGGCAAGATTTAAAGTTCTGAATAATCAAGTCTTTTTTTCTTTTTTGACCATAAAGAATAAGGATCTCAAAAGTGGACAATCTGTTACCTAAAATACTACAACTGACTTAAAGGCCTTTAACGTTAGAAAAGGGAATGCCAATTTCTTCAGGAGTCACATATAATCTCCAAATAGCTTAAAAACAGCTCAACACTGTACTAAACATGCTTGTCCCAAATCAAGACCTTAAGAAATGCTCACCCTGCTGGAAATACGTTCATGTTCTCCTAGCACGTGGCTCAACGAGCTACAGCTGTAGCAATAACCACTACAAAATGTGCAAGTGCACGTCCATGGTGGGGAATGAAACTGCAGAAAACAGGCCTAGGGGTTTCTGGGGCTTAAGGATTAAATGCCTAAAAAGTGTACAATTAGGGGCGCCTGGGTGGCTCAGTTGATTAAGCCTCTGATTCTTAGGTTTCAGCTCAGGTCACGATCTTGGGGTCATGGAATCGAGCCCCATGTCAGGCTCCACACCGAGAACGGCATCTGCTTGAGATTCTCTCTCTCCCTCTGTCCTTCCCCTTGCTCACTCGAATGTGCGCTCTCTTAAATAATCTTAAAAAAAAAAGTGTATATGGGCGCCTGGGTGGCTCAGTTGGTTAAGCGACTGCCTTCGGCTCAGGTCATGATCCTGGAGTCCCGGGATCGAGTCCCACATCGGGCTCCCTGCTCAGCAGAGAGTCTGCTTCTCCCTCTGACCCTCTTCCCTCTCGTGCTCTCTATCTCTCATTCTCTCTCTCTCAAATAAATAAATAAAATCTTTAAAAAAAAAAAAGTGTATAATTTCTCTGTTTATTTGACTGCAACCACAAGTGTGTGCAAACCATCCTTATATTCTTTACCCATGCCTGGAAGCAAAAGGAGTAATAAATGTTTCCATTACTTCCATCCACTGGACACAGAACACTGCTGCTAGCTTTGGAGACACTGACAAGTGGCTGCTGGTAAGGTTAACCTACACATCAATTCCCTACGATACTGTGCAACAAAAAAAAGCAAAATCCATACATATGAATTCTCTGTATATTTGTAAGAGAAGAACTATTTCTAAGCCTTATTTCAAAACTCTGGCCAGCCTCCTACAAAGAGCAGCCTCACTTGGTGGCCCGTTATGGGTGGTCTTCAGCCTCCATAATGTAACATCAGAATACGACAAAAAAGAACACAAACCCACTTACTGGCATTTTTAGTGGTAACCTGGGGGGCAGGTCAGAAATGAACTCTTCGAATCTGATCAGCTCATTGGCATGATGCAGCAGTGCTTCTGAGGCCTGGTTTTTATGGACCAAAATTATGTGGAAACCATGCCTGTGTCTCAGGTCACTGAGTTCCAATGCAAAATTGACATCAGCTGAAAGAAAAGGTACACCCCCCCACCCCCATCCCCAAACATTAGAAGGACTGGACAGAGACACACAACTCCACTGACACCCACTGAAAAAAAAGAAATGGCTGGACTATAGTATTCAGAGTTGCTCCCCACCTCCTACCCGCTTCTTCTTAGAACAGGAACACATTCCATATCAGAAGAATTAACACAAGACAATTTTACCACATACTTATACTGAATTCCAAGACACATGTTACTTCTCGTAGAAGAGAAGAAATATTAACATTTTGGGGAGCATCAACTTTGGAAATGATTCTCCTTAGATTTTTAAAATTTGCAATACTGGGCCCAGGGTTAAAAAAAAAAAAAAGTTACATTTTCTTTAACTGGCCCCACAAGAATCTGTACTCACATTCTAAGGAGAAAATACACAAAACCCACACAGACTCTATTTCTTCTCTATACAGCTCTCAGACATAAGCATAAATATGTCCTGTGTATTTCAGCCTCTCTGGGGGCATATTTTATTTAAACATGTTCTGGCTTCTGTAACAATTCCCATACAGTGAGTTTAGTGGAAATTAGCAGACGCTTCTGCACTTACTTGACACAAGAACCACAGTGGCCGGAGCAGTGTGCGTGTTCGCGAACCTTCGGAGACTCTGGCGGAGCTTATCGTCAGCCGCATTCTTTGCTGTAGCATTGATGTGGGCAACGGTTACCTGCGTTAATTTAAAGTAAGGACAAATGAGCAAGAGCTGAGGTCAGAAAAACCACTACGCATTCTGCCTGCATCTTAACAGATGGTCCCTGAGGAAAGACACTCTTGTTATTACTGCCACTTAGGAATGGAAAAAAATTGTAAGTGGATCTCAATAATTTCAAATTTGTCTCTCCGTAAAAATGAGCTAGACCCATTATTATCCCTTCTCGCCTCTCTAATCTTCTGCTTTTGTACTTCGTCCATTCGCCTTTGAGAAAACAGGCAGAAAAGGAAGTGAAATTTGAAGTAGGTAAATTAGCTCTCACTAATAGCTTTTGCCAACAGCTGGGGAAGTAGCAGAGATTGGTATATGATGAGGGTAAGATTCAGCGCTGTATTTGATGTCATTTGTCTCCACTATACATTGTCTGTGGCTCCAGGATCTGGGGTCAGGTGGTGGGAGAGGAGAGGCATCTGTCCCCAACAGAGCTAAAATGTGTTTATTTCTGTTAAAGCCCTCAGGCTTACACAGAAGTCTCCAGAGCAAGGAAAGGTTTTGAGAGGTGCTTCAACTACGTGCAATACACAATAGGATTTATTCATTTTTTAAGGAGCACAAATATAGAATTTTAGGCAACAATATGGTATATCAATAGAATTACTTGTCTAAGAGTCAAAAGAACTGGATTCTAGTTCCAGCTTAATAGACTTTGCAGCCAGACAATCTGGATTTAAATCCTAGCTCATCGGTTTATTGGCCATGTGATCTTTAAAAGTTGCTTAACATCTTGGTGCTTCAGTTAAATTTGTATATTTCAAATAATAAATCCTATGAGCCCTTTCCACAGAGCAGTCACAGAAGTCAAAACAAAGGATATAAATGTAACCATCATACTAGCACAGCACTAGTCACATACAAGCAGATTATTGGAAGATCAGTTATGATTAAATGACTTCTAGTACTTTAGAAATAATCTTTTGCTAATTTCCTTTATTTGCAAACTCAGGAAAAATGTGTATTAAACTTTGAATTAAAATTCTTTAAAAAAAAAACAAACCCACATGTGCTTATTCTTCTACCATAATAGATTAAAATTCTTTTTTTTTTTTTACCTGGCAGTTATTCAGCTCTTGAATAACTTCTTTGTTTTCTTTACTAATGTCGCACACACAGATGAATTCTGCTTCTCTGTGGCCTTTAAAAAACTTCTCACGGATTCTCTGTACAACAGCAGTAGCTGAACGGCCAGAGGGAACTGAACAGTTTTCAATATCCCAAAAAACTCCAATGGGGGGTAAGTTTTCCAGCACCTGTCCGGCTAGTGCAACTTCTGGTGACCCTTAGGAAATGTTAACACTTTCAATCACACATAGTGGAAAAAAAAAATGACAAACTAAAAATAAAATAATAGGTAGCTACCTATCGTTCTTAGTGGCAGAAAAACGAAATTACTGATTGATGTTAAGCTTAAGGATACCAACCTCACCGGCTGACCTAATAGCACAACCGCGAGTTCCAAAAGTATTTCTAAGCGATTATTCCACTTTTTCAGGAGAGAACAATTCTAAAGGTCAAGTTACTTCAAGCCCACAATAAATCCACTGCAACGCATGAGCCATTCTCATGCTGATCATTATGCTTCTCTGAACACTAACGCGGAGGTAAACGGACACTGCAGCTCTGGGACCTCATTGTCATGCTCTGCCCACGCTTGTCTACCTGCTCAGTATGGAAGACCAATGAAGAGGTGACAACGGGTGAACTTGTTACTGTTCTTGATTAAAAAAAAAAAAAAAAATTTAACACTGCATTAACATCTGATCTAATATTTAAAAAAATGCTTTCAAAAGATAAAATATCACATTAACTACTTTTGGGGGGAAATGACATTAGGTTTTTTCGATTAGTTTTTCATCAACCATTATAAAATCTTTCTAAATATTAAGTACTTCCACGGAGTGCACAACTAACAGTGTGATTTTGAACCTAAGTTGACAAGGAGTCCCCTCTAGCACTGATTTCTCCTGATATACTCCCTGTTTTTCTATACACAGCTTCTGGTCTCAAACAGCAGCAGCTCAACATAAAAGGCAAATGGCTTGTTGGTCTCTAAGAATAAAAAGATTTTTACCAAGAGGCAGAAATGGAGACTCATTTACCCAGTAGCTTCAGAACCACAAGGAATCTTTTCTTTTTGAGGTGATTAAATGCAGTGTTAGCATCAGATACTGAAAACTACTTAAATATGCATATTTTATACCATACTGTCATTTACCAAATTTCGAAGAAGCTTTGCCTAGACTGGTCGCCAATAACAACGTGGTCTCCTTCCCTGTTCCTTTGGTTCCACAGCCATTACACAGAGGAATAGTAACAGGTGCAGTTTGAGTATTTGGAGGTGGTATATTTGGCCAGACTTTAGCAGCATCAATTATACTATTTCTTGCCGGCTGTTTTAAAAATTTTTTTAAGAAAAGGAGGAGGTTTCAGATACATCATTTTCAGAACCTAGAGTTATAAACAACAACTGAAAACACAGTCTAAGTGTTTCTTCTTTCCACCTGTTAACCTCTGATGGAATGTATTTTCAGTATTTCAGGGCATTCCCAGAACTATTAACTATCAGGTCATAAACTCACTTCAGGAAGTGACTTGAAATGATCTGGGAAGGTAGTCACATGATCATTCTAGGGCATGTGTATCCTCCAAAGGCGACCCCAAATACACTTTACGTGAAGGTAACTGAGATTTTTAACACCGGTGTGATTGAGGCCAAGTTCCAAGTCCCTCAAATTACTACAAAGGAACAACATGGCGTGACCTACATTACATGAATGGGTCCATGTATAAGGTGTTAGTTATGAGAAACTGCAATCGTGCTCTAGCCTTTAAAGACAAAACAGAACACGAAGCTTTGCCAAACTCGGTTTACATGTGGGAAACAGCCTGATTACAACAAGAGCCTCTAAAAGCATAAACTACATAAATAATGACTCTGCACTTTTTTTGAATGGCCCTTCCCATTTTACCCTTTGCTTCTCTCAGGACCAAGAGAAGCTATGTTGATGGGGTGAAAGCTACCTCACAGAAGAATCTTCACCCCCGTGCACAATAAAGATTTTTCAAGAAACGTCTATCTACTTTAAGAAAGTCATTCCTCAAAGGTCAGCTGCGCCCAACAGAACAATAAAAAGATACACACCTTGTTGAGACAGTCTTCGCAGTAAAGTGAGCCCTTTAAACAAACCGGAGGTACCACATTTAGGTGCAAAGAATTGGTGCACAAGTGAGGCGTTAGCTCCGACTGTGAAATGTGCTCTTCCAAATGCCCTGGAGCCCCGCTTGTGAAATCAGAACAGGGGAAATAGCCAGCAGAGGCGCAGCCCTGGAGAGCCGGGAACTGATGCAGCTTGTGCACGTTACCATGACATGATTGGAAATGAAGCTTCCCACAACAGGGCAGGTGTTTGCAGGAAGAGAGATTACTTTCTAGACACATGCTGGGAAAGTCACTTGCAATGCCGGCCAAATTGTTCCTAGCTGAGGCATTCTGGAGTGAAGACGCAGACTGGAAAGCGAACCCTGACCCTACCTGACACGTGATGGTCCTGGTGCTCTGCGAGTCTAACAGTGCGCCGGGGTGAATCAAGCTACCAGTACCTCCGCTACCGCCACCACCGCCACCACCAAAATGCATTGGCGACGTGGAGGGTTCATTAGGGCAATGAGCACAGCAGCTTACTTTGGGGACAGGTGAAAGCTGTATTTTAGGTTGCTGAAGAGAATGGATATCTGGAAGTGGGACTGCTGGAAAAAGTTTAGAGCCAGCATGAAGGGGAGATGGCACATCCTTTAATTCCACAGCAACTTTCTTGTTCTCCATGTACTCTTTCTGGGAAGAGAAGATCAGAACGCCAGTTAATGTCAGGAGGCCAGTGACTTTTGGTTACTCACATCCTACTGCAATCCAAAAATGGAAACAGCGTTCAGTCCTGTTTACATCACTCAACCATAACCAAACAATATGGAATGGCAGCTGAAACCAGGGGCATTCTTCAGAGAGGCCTGCAGGAGGTGAACACCAAAACAGACAACTAAAAATCAAGACTGTGTCCTTCCTGAATTTTAGGAGACTGGGGGAGGGTTCTGCTTACATGTTCAGCAAAGCAGGTTAACCATCTGTGCCTCAGGGACTTCCCTTTGATAACTTCCCCTTGCCTCACAGGGTCTTCTAAAGACAAAACAGATGGTATGAAAACAACACAATCACAAACAGTATTCAATAAAGATGGCTTACCAGCCAAGTGCTTGGAGGAAAAGACTTAATAGTTCTTGCAGTCAGACCCTAAAGGATTTAGGAAGGTCCTCCAGGCGATTCCAAACATTAAGGATGAGATCAGCCATCCGCCCCAGGGGCCCAACCATGGAGAGGTCTTAAATGTGTTGTTGACATTATTAGGCAAACTAGGATATCATGACCTAAAGCCATAATGCCAACACTTTGTAGTCAGGGACGAGACTCAGAGTAATTAGAAAACTATTTAGGAATAAGATTCCAGAGAAATTGTCTGTCCTATGCCTCTAACACAGACACAGGTGGCCAGTATATTTACAAAGTCATAGCATGGCACCCGTGTCAGAGACCTGGGTTTGAATGTGATATTCAGGAACTGTTTTAGGACCTTGGGTAAGTTATATAACCTCTCTACATTTGTTTCTCCTACAGTTGTTAGAAGGATAAAAGAGATAGTGCACATAAAGCACTCAGCAGAGTACCTGGCTACCGAAAGGGGATTTAACTAATCAATAGCCCCTACTGGCTGACTGCAGGAACTATTAAGAGAAAGAGAATGTCCTGATACAATGAGACATGCTCTTCCCTCAGAGCATAGAAAGGGCCATCTGACTGCCATGATTTCACTCCTTTGGCTGTGGTTCTACACTCATCTAGAAGAGTACACTCATTTAGGAGAAATTTGGATTTTTCACTTGGACATTTCCTAAAAGGGAGGAGATAGCAATTGACTGACTGCCAACAAGCAGTGTGTTCTGCCCTCTGGGTAATTACAGTTTAGGCTGGAAATTACTGGCATTCTGATTTATAGAGATCTGGCTCTTAAAAAAAAAAAAAAAGATCTGGCTTTTATGGTCAGGATTATCATGAGTTGGTTCCCCTGAATTTACTCAATCCTGGGTGCCACTGATAAAATCAGGTTTCTGGATCTGTAAAGTTGAGTGCAATCCTGTACTGTGTGACTCCATAAGGGCCAGATCCTCCATCCCAGGAAGCCCTGTCTGAGCTGCCAACCCTGTTGCCAGGTGCCCCTAGAGTCACTGACCTCAATTACCGATGCCATGCAAAAAAAAGGTAACTATATAAGGAAAACCTGGAGAAGATTGGGAATTTAGCTGAGTTTTTAAAAAGTTACTAATACCCTTATGTAAATTCATAGTAAAGACTCATTTAAATCCCAAGTGCAGTAGCAAAGAAAGAAAAAAAGGCACAGAATAGAAATGTGGTAATATGGTGCATGGAATGAAATCAGAAAAAGTCAAAATCACTATGAAAAGGCAAAGGAAGTTACAGACACATTTAAATATTCAAGAGAAATCTGAAACAGAAAAAGACTGCCAATAAGGTCCTATCAATCTTCCCTTGATTTGAAGACTCAAACCTCAGAAGGTTAGAGTGAAATAAAATCTTTTTTTTTTTTTTTTTTTTAAATAAAATCTATTTTATACTTTCCTCTGATCTGACTCTACAATCTGGATTTCATCTTTGGAATCTGTGACTTTCGTAAGAAACAAATCTTCCCCAAATGTTAACATTAAATATTTAAAGCACCTACAGTTCCTTAGAATAGGAGTGCAGGAGTCAAAAAAAGTTTACGCTCTCCTCAAGTCAGGAATTATAATCATGTGCTATGAGGAAGAATAAGCAGGATACAAGGTAAAACTTAGCACAGACTCCAGGGAGAGAAAGACTGCCCCAGACCAAACAGACAGCACATCTATTTGCATAAGGAATTTGCTATGTCCTCCGTCTTGCGCATAGTTACCGTTTGGGGACTAAGTGGCAATGTCTGCTCAGGACGAGAAAAGCAATTAGAGAATTTCCAAAGCCATGGCTTAGCATCATTATTTTGTTGCAGCCATCCAGGTGTTCTACTGCAGGAGTCCTCAGTTCCGCTTCCTTCCATCATACAGCCATACAAAGTGGTTCAACATTCTTTCATCTTTCTTTTCTTTCATTCTTCCACCCTGTTAAGAATGAGATCTCAAAGTTATTTGCCTAAGTACAAATTTTACTATTAAAATGTGAGACTTGGGGCACCTGGGTGGCTCAGATGGTTAAGCGTCTGCCTTCGGCTCAGGTCATGATCTCGGGGTCCTGGGACCGAGCCCCATGTCGGGCTCCAGATCAGCAGGGAGTCTGCTTCTCCCTCTGCCTCTCCCCTTGCTTGTGTGCGTGCACACTCTCTCAAATGAATAAATAAAATCTTAAAAAAAAAAAAAAAAGTGAGACTGCAGGGGCACCTGGGTGGCTCAGTCGGTTAAGTGTCTGCCTTTGGCTCAGGTCACAATCTTCAGGTCCTGGGATCAAGAGCCCCGAGCTGGGCTCCCTGCTCAGTGGGGAACCTGCTTCTCCCTCTCCCCTCCCCGCAGCTTGTGTGTGCACTCCCGCTCTCTCTCAAATAAATTTGTAAAAAAGTGAGACTGCAACTGTACTTATGGCACAACTATATTTATGGTACAATGGCTCCCAACGAGTCAGATCATAAGGAATAAAAGTAGAATTCTAGCCAGGGGCCAACCTCCTCCAGCCCTGAGCAGGCCTTTTCTATAGATTTTTCTTAATTCTTCTCGACCATCTCTCCCTGAAGACCCTACTGGTAAGGGTGAAAAAGTTAACAAAGAGAACATGTAATTTAGTAAAAGAACAATTACATGTCTTCATAGCCAATTACGTAAGATTCTGAAATTGACTTAATAGCAACCTATCCCACTGTGTCGTTGATGTGACTGTGGAAGGTCCAAATTAAGTGAACTCTGTGAATTTGATTCTGCTACAGAACAAATCGAACCAATTTCTTCATTTACTTATTACAAAAGTGCAATCTGATATACCACCAAAAATCTAACTGAGAAATCTCAAGTCACAGATGTGCTGTATCTACTCCAGTGCAATCACATTCTTACGAGTCTTAAACAGTACAATAAAAGCAGATGAAATCAATAAGAGCCAGTGGGCATGGAGGCAGCCTGCCAATGGTAAGGACAACTGAACCTCATTTCCAAGTCCTCGCCATCAAACCGAAACACCACCTATTCTTACCTACGGTGGGCATTTTAAGGTTATCAATTTATCAGAAATTTCTCCTGGACATAAAGAAAACATTTTCTTTTAGCTCTCTCTCTGATAAGATGCTCTTCTCAAGAGATTGTAACATTTACATAGTATGGTGAAGGGACAGATGAGTACTCAATCTAAAATATAGAACTGATCACAAAAAGCAAGGGCAGGCAAACTATAGCCTGCTAGCCAAAACCAGCCCACTGCCTGTATTTAAATGACCTTCACAGTAAGAAGGTATTTTACACTTTTTAATTCCTGGGGGGGGGGGAATCAAAATAATATTTATGCACTACAGCTACCTAGTCAAGTATTTGCAACAGAAACCGCAGGGTCCACAAAACCTAAAATATTTACTATTTGGCCCTTATGTGGAAGCTACAAAAACTTCATTAAGTTTCAGTTTCTTCCTTTGCAGAGTGTGGTTAATTTCTCCCCCTCCGCAGCACTGCTGGGGTGGGGGGTTAGATAAAAGACCCCACTACCCATTTTTGTCCGCAATGTAGAGCTTGTGCCAAGCACTGGGCTTGCAACATAGTGTAAACTAAGTAATTATTTGTTAAATTAAGGAATGAATATAGCAACTATTCACCTACTACGGACAGTTAGGACTTAGTGTGGAAGCAGAAATGGAGTTAACTGCCACAATGACAATAAATTATGATCGTTGTTTTTCCTACTAAACACAGGTCTTGTATCCAACAAACTCCTCTCTAGATCACAGAAATCTGGGATATTCACGACAATACACAACTTGAACATGCTCTCAAATCTCTTCAAGGCCAATCCTGAATGGTGCTAACGGGTAGTGTACAAGACCAATTACAAAGCCTTTTTATTTAACATTATTTCCTCATTCAGTAATTATTTAATATCTACCATATAACAGGCCTGTGCTTGGCACAAGACATACAGTGATGAAAACAACCAGACAATAAGATTCATTTATGTCATCTTTTCCCCCACAGTAAATCTGATAGACAAGGGAGAAATAAGCCACAATTTTACATAGGAGTAAACAGAAGTTTAATTAAGTTTTGTAACTTGCCAAGATCACATAATTAAAGGGGGGCAGAGCCAGGCTTGTCCACCTCTTTCCACCACACCAACGTGCCTTCGGTATGGCTCAACACAATCAACAGAAAGTACAAATGTATTAGCTTATTAGTGGCCTGAACCCAGAAAATTTCCCAAGCATTCCTGGGAATACCACTAAGTAACTTAGGTAGCCAAAGCAAGTTTTCTGTTGATCTAAGTGGGATTCTTCGAACAATTCAGATAGTGCTTGAGAGCACAGACTCTGATGTCCGTCTGTGTATTAATCCCCAATTTTGCTGCTTCCTATATGTGTCGCTATGGAGAGTTCACAACCTCTCTGAACCTCAGATCCTATGTGTAAAATGGGCCTGATAATAACTGTGGCATCCTTACAGGGCTGTTGTTGGGATTTAATGAAACAATCAAAGCATAAAATCTAGAAGTAACCTTCTCTTAACACCCAAGTTAGTCGTGGAAACCCACACCACCCAGTCCTATTACTTTTTTTTTCATAGCTCTTCTATCCAAAATTGTTTATTTGCTTGATTTTTTATTATATGTCTCCCCTACTTGACTGTAAACTCCACGACAGCAGACATCATGTTTTCTCATTCATTGCTGTATTCCCTGCACCTACCAGTGCCTGGTGCATATCAACAATTGTTGAACGAGTGAAGAGTTCAGTATCTAGGAAGACAGTTTACGTTTTGATTTCCGTGTATGCAAAACAGCGTATTTACCGCTCAGAGAAGTGGGGAAGTCCAAAAGATAACAAATGCAATTGGAAAGCTCTTGGTAATACCAGAAAGGTGCTTGAGAAACGAAAATGTGTATCACGGTGTAGCGTTACAATTAGTAGTGGGAGTGGTTCATGCCCTAAGGCAACTCAACCCTATCTGTCAAGCCAGAGACTACACCCTAGGGAGTGCTAAACTGCCGAGGAGAATGCAAAAACGCTCAGTGGGGTTGAAAAACACCCGCCCTTTTCTTCCTCTCTTAACCTTCCAACTGTGCACACTGCTCCGGAAAGGTTGCTCTCCACGCCTGGAACCCTAACAGGGAGCAGGGGGACAGGTGCGGACGGGGAGCCAAACACCCTCAAAGGGCAGCAGGGGCGCAGCAGTGACAGTCGTGAACGGACCTGAAAGGGAGAGAACCCGAACCTATGGTGGGGGCCTGACTGCTAAGTCCCAGTCCTTCCCCTCGGAGTAGCCAACCTCCCCCACCCCCCGCCAGCAAAGGGCAGGGAAGGGGGGGGACGCTGTCCCGCCTCCAGCCGGTGGCCCCAGAGCTGTGAGCCCGTCAGGAAATAGTCCCCAGAGCTGCCAGCCAACTCACCTCAGCCGCGGGCTCCACCTCCGCTCACATTCCGGCCCCGCCGCCTTCCCCCCGCCCCCCCCAGGCCCTTTGTTTTGATTCCCGACTCCGCAGCTCCCGCCGCCGCCGCCAAGCGCACCCTCCACTTCCGCTTCCGCACCGCACCGCCCCTGTCGCAAAACCGACGCCCTTCTCTCCCCCCTCGCTCCGCCCCTTCCTCCACCCCGCCCCCGCCGCCGCGTCCTCCCCGCGCGGGGCGTGCTGGGAACCCCGGGGGGGGCGGGGCCTCGCGGCCCTGCAGCCTCGTCAGGCTCAGTCCCCTCCCGATAAACCCCCAAATAGGGACCTTTCCTAGGGGAGACCCCGGCTTTTTTGGCGAAAACCCCGAGTTTAAGGAGGCCTTCTCCCTGGCTTATCGTGGTGGAGTGGAAAGGAATCTGAAAGCGAAGAATGAGGGGGCTTGTGAGGTGGAGCCGGGGGAAAAAACCTGCCAACCGGGATTTGATACAATTCAGCTCTTTCAGTCTTTTGAGGGAAGGCGATTTAAACGGGATTTCGATGAAAAACCCGATCGTTTTGCCGCTGTAGCTCGTGCGCGCGCGGGCGCTCCCCTCTCTCCCTCTCGTCACATGTTGGCTCTACTTTATTATTTTTTTTAATTAAATGATGCATAATTTCCACAGCATCCTTAATCTAGTGCAGCCTAGTGGCGAGTGGAGAGAAAAATAACCGCCAGCCGGGCTTCCCGCGAGGTCCTTCGGGCCGGCGGGGTTTCTCTCAAGGTGGCGACCCAGCTGGCGCAAAATGAAGTGTGAGCTCAGACTCGGCTGGGCACTGTCACCTACTATTAAGGGATCCTCGTGATTTCAGTTAGCAAACGTCATTTTTTAAAAGCTCTGGTCCAGAGCCCGTTGCAAGCGCATGCAAACTTTCCAGGGACAGGGTGGGGAAAGCCCTATGAAGCCTGTGACGGCTTGTGTGTTAGGAGGATGGATGTGACATGGTTGGGGTTTTGGGGGGGTTGAGGGTTTTTTTTTTTTCTGGGGAGGGGGTTGGTGCTTCACAATCTTTTACCTGAAGTAATTTTTTTTTTTTAAGCTCAGCACGACCGTCGTTTCTGAAAATGCTAACTGCTCGCTATTTCCTGTTGCCAATGAGAAAAATGAAACATACCTAAATCGAGACATATTTACGATGGGCTCCTGAATACAACCTAAAAGTTCACTTCTGAAGTTTGCCGAGAAACATTAATTTTGCAGACGAATAAGTAGAAATCGCCAAGAGTTTTTTTTTGTTTTTTTCCCCTGCCTGAAGTCTGCAGGGTGAGGCAATTTCATTAGGCAATTTGCGTTAAAAGAAAAACTCCTTTAAAGAGAATTTCAGGGGAAGATGATACATCCCTGTAGACATCCTTGTAGACTCCTGTTGCGGAGGGCAAGATCAAACACGTAGCTGAAGCGCCCTTTGTGCTTGCTTTTCATTGTCCAGAAGGCAGATGACAAGCACACATATCATCTGCCTTCTTAGGTATTTATTACTGCTGAGTAAATCTTCATTGTGTGTGTGGGGGTATTATTTTCCACGTGGGAATTAGAACAGATGAAAAACAACCCTGTCTAATGTTGTGTTTTTTTTTCCTTCCCAAAGTACCAAACAAATACGTTTCTCTTTAAAGGAGTTTTTCTTTTTATGCCAGTTGAGTATCTCTGAAGGCACATCGAAGTAACTAAAAAATATAAAAAGGAAACAAAGTGGATTTTTTATTGCCTTTTTGAAAAGGTTTTTTGTCACAAAACAATACAGAACAGACACATTTTGTTTGACTTTGCTTGGCATTCTTTCAAGTTCAGAGCTGTGCCTGATCTCAACAGGTTAAATGCAGTAAATAAAGCCAAATCAATTCTACTAAATGGAAAGTTAATGAAAAGTCTGAATTACAAATAATTTTTAATGAAATACAGTTTTAGTGTTTTCTGTAGAAAACCAGCCTAAGCAGACTACACCAGTCCTTGGAAGTAGGTATGAAGTGAAATGCAATTTGATACTTGTGAAAGAGTGCTTTCACATTTTCTTAAGAGATGCTTTCTTAAATATAGTCTCTGCTAATCTTACTCCTATTTTTTTAATGGGCAAACTCTTTTATCAGAGAGTAAGAGTAACTTTCAGTTTTTCCCTGTCCAAATTATAATCTTCACATTTATGAAACTAGGATGAAGTTTTATTTTTGTGCTATTTAAGTGGCCATTTTTCATTCCATTCACCTTCTAAACTAATCTAGTTGTCACTAAAGGAGTTTCTCCCCCAGCAACTTCTCTTCTGCCCATGTTCAGTTTAGTGTTTTGAAATAAGAAATTATAACGGAAGGACGTAAGCAAGAGAAACTGAGCTCTCTGCTAATTCATATCTAAAAGCTACAAGGAAAACACTGGATAAAGGGAGGAAAAGGTTTTAACATGCTCCAAAATCTTCTTTTCATTCTAGGGTTTTACCCAATAACAAAGCCATTTCCTAAACTATTCCTCAGAACTTTCATGATAATCATTTCAATGTCCTCCCTGTTGTCTTTATGGAAAATGAAGGAAATTGGAAACTAGTTTAAGTGACTTTTAAGTGATCAGTGCCATTCAGGCAGGACTGGCTAAATCATTGATTTGTGCTTCAGTTTATCTGTAAACTGGGATGATTACTCCCTGCCCAGTAATCTCACAGAGTGGTGAGAGTCAAATAAAATTCTGAGGATGAAAGAAAGCATCAGAGGAAAAGTGTTGAGACGAGGGTGTGAATGATTTATTAGTGTTTGTGAGCAGGATGGAAGCTTCCTGAAAGACATTTTGGTACTTAACTCTTGATATAGGCAGCGAGTTTCCTTTTGTGTCTCTGAGCTTCTTTGGCAATGAGGAAGGAGTCAAAACAGTCATTTTTATGACTGTTTTGAGAAAGAGAAAGGTCATTCTTAACCAAGGCAGGGAGGCGGGAAGGATTCTAAGAGTATGGCCAGAGGCCTCAAAATAGCTAAAAATCTCTTTGCTTCTAGGGTCGTGCTAAAGAATTCGGGTGTAGGAGTCAAACAGACCCAGGTTTGAAGACTGGTTTGTTATTACTAATTGGGACTCCTTGGGCAACTCATTTAATTTCCTGCACCTTTGTTTTCTGATCTTTTAAAACGAGGACAATAAAAGTGCTTTTCTGTAATTCTCATCATCTGGATCTGAGCTCCGTTGTCACCTCCATCAAGCAGCCTTCCCTGATCATCTGAAGTGACCCCTCCCGACACTTTTCTCTCAAGGGACCTTGTTTATTCTGAAATCATTACTCACAAGCATCTGAAATCATTTTACTCTTTCTGTTTGCTGATTTAATGTCTTGCTTCTTGCTTTCTTAGTAGCATAAGCCTTTTGAGGACTGGCAGCTTGTCTGACATTTGTTGTGTTATAAGCCTGAGTGCACAATAAATATTTGTTGGTGAACATTTGGGATTGCTGTGAGAATAAGAAAACCCATGTCAAGAAGTTAGCATTGCCTCTGACACACAACCAATGAACAAATCATGATCACTTAAGAATTGCAGATTGTATTTAACTTTGTGCTAGGCATGGTCCTAAACGTTTTACAAACTCCAAGTCAACTCAATTTGTCTCCGCATAACCCCAAGGTAGAATCCTATTATGAGCCCCCATCTTATAGATGAGGAAACTAAGTCACAGAGTGTTCAAGTCACTTGCCCAAGCTCAACCAGCTTGTAGGAATACAGCTAGAATTCAAAGCCAGGCTCGAAACCAAGCCCTTATACACGAAGTTCGCCGCCTTTGAAGAAGATAATGATGACATTTTTATTTTGGGTGTAAAGAACATGGAGCATTGCTTAACCTGAGCGGACCTGGATCTTTGTCCTTCCCTAGATTTGGGGAAAATGCGATCGGTGTCTAGGGGAGGGAGTCGTATTTTCTTGAACAGCGTGGCCCTCACGTCCAAGCCCGTCCCCGGATGTCCAGGGACCCGCCTGCACACTCCAAGGCCTGCCAGGTCCCTGCCGAGCAGCGGGAGCTTCCCAAGCCCCCTCGGGCCCACTGCCGCCGCGTGGCCACGCCGCGCCCGGGCCCTGGGAAAAAAGTTTCCAAACGGCGCTGCTAGGCGCTGATTGGCCGAGGCCGACGCGGTTCCGTGGCGCCGCAGCCAATGGTCGGCGCCCGCCGCGGGCGCGGGGGTGGGGGCGGTGGTCAGAGGCCCGGGCTGCGCCGTCCGCCGCGGTAGCCGCCGGTCCTCGCGGACAGAGCTGGGGTAAGTGTGGACCTGCGGTGGCCGGGGGTGGGGGCCATCCCGGGACTGCCGCCACCACCGGGAAACTCTTTTGCCCGCCCTGGGGACCGCCAGGCGCCGCCTTGCAGGGACCCTGCCGCGCCCCTCGCTCGCGCGTTCCTTCCCGGCCGCCTGTACTCCGCCGGTCCCGGGCGCTGGGCTCAAAAATCCCGCTCTCTGCAGCCTCCCTTTCTAATTTTGTGCCTTCCCACCCTTGTGTCCTCGCGCCCAGCTCCTCGCCTTTGCCAACTTTCTTTCTCTTCTAGCGCCCTCCGCTTCCTCCATGACTTCCACGGTCCTTCGTGCCCTCCTCGTCTCCAGCCCCCGCTGCCTGGCTCCTCTGCCCTCCTGGCTCTCTTGGTCTTTTCTCTTTTTTTCTGCCTCTTCTCAGCCCCCGCCACCCCCTTGCCTCCTGCTGCCCCAGACTCTCCCTCATTCCTCGTATCTCCTTCCCCCCCCCCTCGCCCTCGTCCCCTACTCCTTGCCACTTCCACCCTTAGTTCAGGCCTCTTTCCAAAAACCTCCCCCCTGCTTGGCATCTCCGTGCCTTCGGGAACGTGTTTGGAACAGTCTCCTTCCCTCTGCTTTTCTCAGATCTCTGCTGCAGGAAGGTTCAGATTTCCCCTGACAGCACTCTGGGGAAGGATAGGATAAAGGATGAAAACGCTTATTCTACAGTTTGAATGCAGTGCTGGGACTTACCTGCCTCCCCGAGGTCGTGGGAAATCCCGCCATCACCTTGACACCGCTTTTTGGGAAGCTACCTTATCTTCTCCAGTCATCTCAGGTTCTCCGCCTCCTGAGGGCCTGAGCTTCCCGGATTTCTTTGTCCAGGGTTGGTACCAGGTTGTGCCTCTTTCTACTTTTAGCCTCG